TGGGGGCCGACGGGCTATCTCGCAAGCCGCGGCCGAATTACTTGTGTTAATCCTATTCATGCAATATTTGCGGAAAAGAAATACTTAGATTTAAATTATAGGTGCAAGATGGTCAAAGGTAACTTGCCTTGCTCAAGATCTTGAGCTTGATCCTCGTAATCCTCGCACTGTGGGTCTTCGGGCTCTGAAACTACACGCGAAACGGGACAACTCAACAAACGGCAAAAATAAAGCCCTATTATTGACCTCTAAGCGTGCCATTAGATAGATCTCAAGATTTGAGGAATTTTGGAAGTTGAACGGAGTCGAACGGATGTACGGTTGATAAGATATGGAATTTCTAAGATTATTGGATTTTTGATCTAAAGGAAAAGGATTTATTTAAATCCTTTTTGAGAAAAGAAAAGAAAAGAAAAGAAAGAGGGAGGGGAATTAGACTTCCCTCGGGCGGCTAGGGCGTGGCCCGAGAGAAAGGGGCGGCTCGGCCGAACTTAACGGGCTGGCCGGCCCGAGAAGGCGGCCCAAGGCGCGCGCGCGGGCGGGGAGGAGAGAGAGGGAGCCGGTGGGCCGGGTCCATCCCGCGTAGTCCCGAGTGGGACCCGCTTGTCGGCGGCTCGGCTCGCCGTGAGCAAGGTGCACGCGGGGCGTGCTAGGGTTTGGGAAGGGGAGGCGCGGCGCACGCGCGGTTCGCGGAGGACGCGGTGCGCGGCGGGCCCACGCGCAGCCTCACGGCTCACCGTGGACCATGCGCATGGGGAGGGTGGAACGGAGGGAGTGGCTGACTGGGTCAGCCGATCCGGTCGTGCCGAGGTGGCACCGACGTGGCGCCTACGTGGCTGCCACGCGGGCCGGCTGGAGGAAGACGAAGGCGCCGGCCGCGAATGGACGGCGGGCGACGGCGGTTTCTCCGGGACGCCGTGCGACGACGAGGGGCGACGGGGTGTACACCGGAATGACGAGGGAGAATGAGAGGGAGCGAGCCAACGGCTCGGATTCGCCGGAGGGAGTTCGACGGCGGCGGATTGCGGTGGCGGCAACCGGCGGCGAGAAAAGGGGGAAACGGCGACGAGGTCATGAGGGGCTGATTCCCGGCGGTGAGAGCATCTACGCAGCTAAGGTAAAGCATTCCTAGCACCGGATTAGGAGGAAACACGCCGTGGGAGGTCGGCGACGAGAGGTTGCTACCGGACTCGGGCGGCGACGCCGGCGAGTCCACTGCGAGCGACGACAGCAGTCGGGGCGGCGCCAGTTTGCTACGGGGAGGCTACACATGCTACTAACCGAGTCTAAGGGGAGGAGGTGGGACGAGGAGGGAGAACGGGGAGGATGCACTACCGCTGCAGAGGAGGGCGCTGTGACGAGAGGCCGACGGCACGGGAGTGATCTCTCCGGCCTCGGGCCGGGGAAGAGGAAGAAGACGAGCGCCCGGAGTCCCCTTCCGCGTCCTAGCGCGCACCGGCTCCTCTGGCACACGCGACGACGGCGGTCGGTGATAGAGAGACAGAGGGGACGGCAATGGCGCGGTGGAGCGAGGGAGAATGGGGGAGGGAAAGGAAGGGAGGGCGCCTTGGTTTAATAGGAGGGCAATGTCGGTTTGGGAACCGACCTAGGGCGGTCAAGGAGCGAGTTGGAGCTCAGCGGTCGCGGCCAAAACGGCGACAGAGGGCATGACACCGGCAGAAGAAGAGAAAAGGGAAAAAGGAAGGAAGAAAGGGGGCTTGCCCCTTGTCGCTTTGGGAAAAGGAGGAGGGAGAGGGGGGGTGACGCGGCAGAGGGAGGAGGAGCTCTGCCTCCGTCCCTTGGAAGCTAGCGCGCGGTGGTGGCGGGGCCGGGTCGATGACGACGGCGATGACGGCGGACCGGTTTGGAGCGGAGCGGCGACACGGGCGGCAGACACGGGGCAGGCGCGGCAGGTGCTGACGGCGGTGGCGACTGGCCGGTCGGCCACCACGGCGCGCGCGCGCGGGAGGCAACGGGGCGACATGACGATTTGGACGGCGTTGGCGGGAAGCGGCAGCGAGGGCGGAGGGCGCTCGGCTCGGCGCCGGCTCGCGCGCACGCGCGCGCACGCGGCGTACGAGCAGAGCGAGGGAGGGGAGAGCCGAGGGAGAGGCGCTCGGCGCGGCGTGGCTCACGCGCACGCGCGCGCGGCGCACGGGCAGAGCGAGGGAGAGAGGGAGAGGGAGAGAGAGGGAGAGAGAGAGGGAGGGAGAGAGAGATGGGCCGAGAGGAAATCGGCCCACCGAACCTGAGGGAGGCAAAATGGACTTTTGCGGAGGAATTGAATTGGGAAGGAAAATTGAGATTAGGGTTTGGATTTAGCGATGGATCGGGGATTCGAGATCCGGAATGGCACGGAGACTAACTGCAAGCGAAGAAATAATTTTCGCAATTAGGGTTTTTAGAATTTAAATTTTCCCGCTAGGCGCCACGACGGAACGGGCGCTACAACTAGTGAGTGCAATTAATTGTCAAACTTATGTAATATACATTTTTGCAAAGCAACATCTGAGCTAGACATTTATTGAGTGAGATCCTTATATGTAGACATTTAATTTGGTGAATTTCATCCAAATATATATTAGTGAAAAATATTTTTGTTTCTATTTATCAAAAAATTGTGATATTAAATTCTTAATTACCTACTCTTCTTTTGCTCAAACGGGCATAATGTATGTCGAGTGTCTAGATTTCAGGTGACTGAAATTTCAGTCACTTTTATCATCCTTTAAATATATAGCATGCCAAGAGTTGTCACTTCCACTATTACTCATGCAAACAAAGTCGTTTCTTTCCTGTTGAACGGTAAATTTTATAAGTAGATACGAAATAAATTTACAATAAAAAAACAAAATTACATGTAAAATTATTCAAACATAGATAAATTTGTCCCGACTTTTTAGGGTTTGCAATTTTATTGCTGTTTTTTCTTAAATGAAGCAAAGTTTTGCCATTGGTTTGGCCTGCTGTTTTGATGGTGTTAATTCAATGGCGAAAAGGCATATATATCCTTGGTTGTTGTTTGCCACTACTTTTTTTCATCTCTAGTGATTTCGTCCCTATTCTGTTTTGAATGATATGAAGTAAGATTGTGTTAAATAATTCAAATATGAGCATTTTTTTACTTTTGCCAAAAAAAATGACAAATACTACCACAAGTAAAATTTTGATGGTACTTGAATTGAATTTTGTTAAAATTTTGATAGAATGTGCTCAATTTATAGGATTTCCTACATCGAACCCTCCCCGTCATCTCATCCGCCCCTCCGCCACTTCTTCCCCCGCTCACCGTTGCTATTGCTGTGACCGTCGTGGAGGAGGCCTTCAAGGCGCTGAAGAGGACCAAGGACCTCCTCGCAACCTTCTCCCACCTTGAGGCCATCCTGCCACCGTTCAACAAGTGCCTCACATGCCTCAAGCTGCCCCGACCCATCCCACGTCCTTGCCATCGCCCTCCACTCCCTCAAGACAACCCCCAACTCCATCGCTGTCTCGCTCGCCATGGCCCTCCACCTCGTCGGGTCTTCCTCCTTCAACCTCCCGTTTTCACATTGGCCTCTTCTTCTTTTCACGCTCCCTCCGCTGTCTCGCTCGCCATGGCCCTCCATCTCGTCGGGTCTTCCTCCTACCTCCCATTTTTACATTAGCCTATTCTTCTTTTCACGCTCCCTCCACCTCCTGTCCCTGCTCCTTCCCTCCAAAGATGTTGTCGCCTTTGAGGAAGAAGGCGATCATTATGCTAAAGTGCTGCGGGGAGGCGGCAGGAAGAGGAGAGTGCTAGGGGGAGGGATTGAGGATGAGCTGAGGCCGGTGGCCGTGAGGTGGTACGGTGCTGGCATGAACATGGTCTTGCCTTATGCTACCGAGCCACCTGCCTTCTTTCACACATCCAGCAACGTCGGTACATTGAAACCACCCTCTCCGCTGCATTGCATGATTCTCGCGTGCTGAGGTGCTAAAAACACTGTGGCCGCCAGCCTCACATAGTTGCATCGATGCACCGGAATGACGAATCCACCCCCGCCACAACGGCATGCCTCAACGCACTGGAATGCCGCCGCCGTGCCCGCCGCGTGGTCTTGCCGGATTAGCCGTTGCCTGCCTAGGGGTTTTATGGTGAAAGCTGTGGCAGGGAACACAACGGGATGGTTGGGGTAACCTTTTCTTTTACTACAAGGGTAGAAGAGTAAACCTATATTTCATAAATCATTTTTCTATTTTCGTTCCTATTTATTTAACTCAATTTCGTGGGACATACCTAACAACTGTCTAAAGTGTTGGCAAATGTCTTCTTCGTTTTCAGAAAACGGTGTAAATTACAAACCTTAAAAAGTGAGGGCAAAGCAACAATGGAGGTTCAAAGCAGAGGCATGGACACAATTGTCCCTTGATTAAAAAAAATGTAAAACCATATACATAATGATAACTTTGTAGTTAAAATAGACCAAAATTGTACATTGCATAGTTTTGCAAACATAGTTTAGCTTAGCCATATGAAACTTTAGGTGACGGAAAATTTATAAAATTTCAGACGCCTAAAATGTAACAAATCCCTTTTAGGGAAAACAATATTGCAAATTAAGAACTCTTTAAAAACTAATAGCATGGATCAATATATAGCCGAAATGTTTTCTAATTTACCTGAAGAAAATTCGGTTACTTTCTTTTTCTCTCTGCCTTGCCGAGGTAACTGCAAATACACACGAGACAAATGGTGCGAGAAAATGAGTAAAAAAAAAAAAAGAAAAAACCGGGGTGTTTTGCGTAAAAGTCTCACTGAAGAACAGTTACTGACAAGCTGACGAAGAACGCGTCAGGTCACTGGAGAGCATCGCTACCTCGCCGCTTGTCCGCATTTTCCGCCTTCAGCGAGCAGCCGCCTTCAATCCAATCCCCAAACCCTAATTCCCCATTTCCGATCTCGCAGCCGCGCGCCGCCGGGAGATCTCAGCTCTGATCCATTCCATCCACGCCGCCGTCGCGCGCGCGCGCCAGCCGCCATGTCGCTGAGCCGACCGCTCGCCGCCGCCGCCGCCGCCACCGTGCCCGACGAGCTCCATCTGGAGATCATGGTGCGCCTCCCTGCGCTTCCCCAGGCGCTCGCCCGCGCCTCCGCCGTGTGCCCGGAGTGGCGCCGCGTCGTGCGCGACGCGGCCTTCCTCCGCCGCCACCGCGAGCTCCACGGCGGGGTGCCCGCCACGGCGGGGTTCTTCCACAACACCGTCGTCTTCGGCGGCGCGCCCGGCGGCGCCCGCTTCGTCTGCGCCGGCGCCGGCCCCCTCGCCCTGTCCGTTCCGCCGTCGGTAAGCCGCCAGGGTGTCCCCTGCTGCCACACCCACGTAAACCCCGGCGACGCATGGACGGTGCTCGACTGCCGCGGCGGCCGCGTCCTGCTCGGCTGCTGCAGATTCTCCTGCTACTTCCTCGTCTACAACCCCATCACCGGCAAGCGCTGCCTCGTCAAGGCGGCATCCCATAAACGACTCCATCTCCATCACTCCATCCGATGCAACGCCACGCTGATCTGCGACGACGACGACGCCGACGCCGACGGGCCGTTCCGCGTGGCCGCCGTGTACACCACCGTCACCGACGGCGGCCGCCTGTTCGGCGCGGCGTTCTTGTCGCGCACCGGCAGGTGGACCACGGCGCCGCAGGTGTTCGTCGACCTGCCGCGGGGCATCGACCTCCGCGGCGAGCCGTCCGCCGTGGTGGGGAGCACGGCGTACCTCTCGGCGTACAGCTACCTCGTCCTCGCGTTCGACGTCGAGCACTGGACGATGGCCACGTTCCAGCGGCCGCCGCGCTGCGGCAACGCCCGGCTGATGAAGACGCGCGGCGACGGCGTGCTCGGCCTCGTCGGGGCGCTGGAGCTCACCGTCCGGCTGTGGGCGCGGGAGGCCGGAGGCTGGGTGCTGCGTAGCACCGTTGAGCTCTCCGACATGGGGCTTCTTCGTGATCTCCCATCGGCACCGTTGCCCAGGTCTGAAAAAAACCAATGGGTTCTTTGATATTTTGTTGGAAATTTCGTGAAATTGGCAAACTTTTAGTTGTTTTGTTACCTTGATAAAGAAATCTCTTTTGCTAAAAATTTGGGAACTTTTGAATATGTGCTATGTTATAAACTTATTATAACTGTGAATCTGAAATTAAGAACCACTGTACTGTATGTTTTTGTCCATTGGCAGACACAGGAAATATACCGTCCATTGTGTTTAGTGGGATAGAGTTAAGGGACTTGAGGTAGTTAGCTATTGGATTAGAATTGGGTGAGCCAGCAATAAAAAAATAAATTTGTTGACAAAAGAATTAGAATGAAGTATTAGATCGAACGAAATATATACATGTGTGATATACCTATATATATTAATTTTATTTCACAAATTTTTGGGTATTCTTCCTAGAAATACCCGGGAACCCCTGTGTCTGCCACTGTTTTTCTCTTTGTTTGTGTATATATGTATAGCTAGTATAGCCCCAAATCGAGCCAAAGAAAAAAAAAAGTATAGTAACCCCAGATTGGTTGAGTTTAACTTCAATCATGTGATCCGGGTATCTGACAATGGCATTGTTGTTGATTGCCTAGCTCTGATGCTCGGTTCCCGCTGTTGCCACCGGTGAAGATCATCGGCGTCGCTGAGGAGGGCGACGCAGTGTTCCTTTGGACGATGCTCGGGATCTTTATGTTCTGTCCAGGATCCATGGAGCTTAAGAAGGTCTGTGAAGAAACTCGAGATATTGAGATGGTGCACCCATACGCATCCTTCTATGTCCCAACTCGCAACTCCCGCAGGTATATATGTTTATATATTATCCTTGCTTTCTACCATTCAAACATAATGTTTTATGGATTATTTATACAAAATTCTCCATTTCATTTCTGAAGCGCGCACAAAGCAGTTAAGAATTTGTATTTGTTTGCATTCAACTGAACCCATATAATCATATCATTACTAATGCTATAATCTTGAAATCCATTTTACCTTCAGTATGTTCACACAATTTGGATTATTGCAGTTAACTTATTGGAAATGCCTAAAGTAACTGTTAAATATATATGTTCTGGGATGTCAAAGGAACATATAGAAATGTACAGGATTTATCAGAAATCAATTAGGAACATAATATATAGTGATAATACTAGCTTTTTGTATGAATCAGTAGCACATGTGAATTATTGTTATTTAGCTGAACCTTTTAGCTTTCTGTGCGGTTATGCTTCAATCATTGTCCGTTGAGCCATTTTTACATTAATTTAGAGATTACTATAAGATACATGTGGCCATTCTGTTTCAGAAATAGTTATTTTATTTGCTGTAAATATGTAACAAAACTTAGCTCAATGGTACTTTTGGGACTCAGTTAATCTGATCTAGGAATATGAATGTACATAAAACTCCCTTGCAAATAAGAAAACATATAAAACCGTATTTGTTAAAGCATATTGCGACTGCAATATATATGAATATTCCATTATTTACTGTTTGTGGGAGTTTTACCCTACTGAAAAAGTTTGCTGTAGCTCGAGTAACATGTGTCGTCTGATAGAACATCCTTGACAAAGTTTCTGCAGAATTAAATATAACTGTATAGTTTTAATTAAATTGCTTGTTGAGTGCAACATATATACTGATCACACTATTTCTCATCACTTCTTTTCAGAAGGCAGTGAAGAAACAGCAAAACAGGGTTGACATGCTACAACAAATGTCGCTGAAGATTAATGATGAAGGTGCAATGGAGTTTTTAGGGATTGGATGCCTTGTGATTTTTTGCTTCGTTAAATTTGAACCTGTTTGATACAAATAATACATGTAATATGTTTGTTGCAATGACTTTGTACTCGTTGTACTCTCTTAGATGATTTTTGTTGTTCAATGACTGCATGCGTAACTTCTGTTGTGAGACTCATGTATGAAATCAAGGTGGATTTTTGGACGCATGAAAATCTGGTTATTGCATCTCATCTAGCTTATTTTTCCTATTGATTTCCAATTCAGCCTCTATGATCTATGTTGGTTAAAGTATATCAAAGTTATCTTCATGATATTTTTTTTCCACTACCATTCATTACTTCACTTTTTTTTTTCACTGCAGACTCCTTTTTTAAAAAAATCTTGTGGATTATATTGTTTTTAATGGATGGAGGCAAAAGATTTTGGTTCATCTGTGAATATATAGATACTGAACCAACATTGAACTTCCTACATGCATATGGCTTGATATATAGAGTGAACACGTATAGTAATTAATTACCTTCAAAAATATGCACAGAAAAGATAACTAGCACTGGTGGAGAAACCATCTTTGGTCGGTCGGCCAAAATACACAATAGTCCCGGTTGCAATAAAAACCGGGACTAAAGATATCTTTAGTCCCGGTTCAAAAGGATAGAGTTTTTTTTTATCTTTAGTCCCGGTTGGTAACACCAACCGGAATAAAAGATCGGCATGCGCAACATGGGCGGCGAAGAGTACGAGACCAGATCGAGGAGGAGGAGGAGCAGTTAATATATTCTATCTCCTCCCTGGCCTTATCTCTTCCTCCATATCTCTTCCTCTTCTTCCTCCTCTCCTTTTAACTTCTCTCCTCCTTTTCCTCTTTCTCCTCTACCAGCGCCGGCGGGCGGAGGGCCTGGCGGCCGGCGGCGCGGAGGCCCGGGCGGCCTCGTGGGCAGCGCGGTGGCCGGGCGGCGCAGCGGCCCAGGCGGCCTCGCGGGCAGCGCGGTGGCCGAGCGGTGCTGCGGCCCGGGTGGCGCGGTGGTTGGGGGCGGCGCGGCGTTGGGCGGTGCGGTGGCGGGCGGTGCGGCGAAGGGCCAGGCGGCCTCGCGGCGGGCGGCGCTCCGGCGGCCGGCGGCTGGCGGCCGGCGCGGCAGTGGCAACGGGCTTTTTTTTTCTTCTTCTTTTTAGAATTTGTGATTCAGATCTGTGTATTTGATTTGTGTGTGATGTGAATGTGATGTATCTATGATGAATTTTGTAAAATTTGTGATGTATCTGTGATGTATCGATTTGGGGAGTTGAGGATTTGGGGATAATTTATTTGGGATTTTGGGAAGGGGATGGGGTGAAATCAATATAATGAAGAAAAGAAAATAATAATGGAGCAACCGGATCTAGCTAGTCTAGCTCTACCAACCGGGACTAAAAAGGCTCTATCTTTAGTCCCGGTTGGTAACACCAACCGGGACTAAAAATGGATTTTTACTCCCGGTTTTTTCACCCGGGACTAAAGATAGTGATCTTTAGTCCCGGATTGGTAGTCCCGATTTGAAAACCGGGACTATAGGGGGGTTACGAACCAGGAGTAAAGCCCCTTTCTCCACCAGTGTAGATTTCTCCCATCAGTACGTGAAGTTGTCAATTGTTCAAATTTCGTACAACATAGTACGTATATGTATCATGTTTAATTGTTATTTACGTTTTGTATATTCATTGCACTGCTCCTTTGTTTGATGTGGTGCCACCCTACTGTTTCCCTACTATATCTTGTGAAATATGATGGCTGATGGCAGCAACAAGATGATGATGGTGTAAACATGGCGCTGCAAAACAGTAGCATTTATCTGCCACAGCTGTGTTATCTTGGATAGAAAAGTTGCAGAGGTTTCGAAGGATGCCTTCCATCCATAACTATATATATATGATAAACCATGAAGGTATGTTTCAAAGGCATGGAACCCATGCGCATGACAACGCTTCCTATTTGATGTTGTGGTGTATAGTGTGTTCCATATCTCCCTTTAATCAATTTCACATATATACAACATGTCTGTACATTTTATCAATTATAGGTTCCCTTGAATTGTGGAAAGCAAGGAAGATTGTGCTAGGGCGAGCTGACTGCTCAGACAAGTCACAAGTAAGATCTTCAAGTCCAAGTTTAGCTAGAGAGATCCCAAAAACGTTTTTTTAATACGCAGGAGAGCTACTTATCATTATATTAAGGAGAAGAAAGAAGAGGATAAGAACCCTTACAACACACACAATAGACCTTACACGAGACCAAAAGACAACTTCAACCTATTACAAGCAAACACTATTTACTGTTCGGCATGAGGACAAGAATGCCCTTAGGCCCGGCCAAACCCTATTCATACAACTCTTCTCTTGCAAACAGCAAGTCTTCAGCTATGTTAGGAGAAGTACCATCGAAGACACAACCGTGTTGGCATGAGGGCTACCAACAATCGACTCTAAGTGTCGAGAAGATGGAATGAAAGCTGGTTTTATGTTGTTTTGAGAGTGCCCCTTGAGTTTTTTAGGTTCAAGGTGCCTAGAAAAAAAAGCTGACAATTTAGATAAACTTTGTGTTGGGAAAAGTTGTTTTATTCTACGTTGTCTTGCCAGAACATGAATAGTGGAGCAGAGAATGAGATGTCATTCTCATCTCGAGAAATAGTCCCCTTCAGAGGAATATATGTATATATACACACACATACATACATACATGTATGGGGTGCTTTCTTTTGTTTGTGCTTTCTTTTGTTTTTCCATTCTGTTTCTCATCGAATCATTTCTATTAATGAAAATGAAGCTGTGCCCTTTGCTAAAAAAAAGTTTCCCAACATTCATAAATCTCCAAGCAATTAAACGGATAATTTTTTTAAGGCATAGGCAGCTTCCAAAACTTCTTGCAAATTAAAGTGGTAAGCAACCATATGCAGAAGAACCAGTACTATCTGGAGCAAAGTCCTAGAGCTAAATAATGAGAACCATCCATTATTCACATTTCTCGTAATACCAAGTAATAGTATGTCACATTAATTCTTCTGTTTAGCACAAATTGTACAAAATTAACTAAACGATGAACAGTCCTAGCTAACAGGTAATCACGTGCATTATCAGTTCATCACAGAAACCGAGAGGCCAAGACGGTCTGTTACTCATGGACGTAGATGGAATTGAACCAAACTCTGGTGTACATGAGAAAGTTTCTCTTTTTTAATATATCGTTCCTCTTCGTCTGTTCCAAATGAACTCTATAGATTCTTCTGTTATTTGTTTGTCCTTCTATCTCCAAATCTAATTTGAAATTGCTACATCAACCAACTGTGGCGTTGTCTTGGTTTAAGAAGTGTAACTCATGGCTTCTGCATATAGCTAGAAATGAACACAAACATTATACAAAATCGGCAGAGGAAAAGAAGGTATGTGAAAAAGAAAAAGACTGCCTACTCTACATTTGATAGAAAATTCCCTCTAAAATTTTAGGAATATTGAGCCATTAATTGGATTGTTTTGATTCGTTGGAGAAGTTAGGAATAATTCCCCTGTGCCCTCTTCTTCTTCCCTACGCCGTTGCCGCCGCCGGAGATCAACGAGATCATCGGAGCGGGAGGTAAGGTAAAGGTGTTGACTATTGAAGGGTCCAAAATCTGCAAGACACTGAGGGGGCAAGGAGGGATTTTTTTGTTGAATGAAGGTTATTACTCCCTCCGTATTTTAATATATGACGCCGTTAACTTTTCGAACAACATTTGACTATTCATCTTATTCAAAATTTTTATGTAAATATAAAAATATTTATGTCATGCTTAAAAAATATTTGATAATAACATAAAGTCACGATAAAATAAATGATAATTACATAAATTTTTTGAATAAGACGAATGGTCAAACGTTAATAAAAAGTCAATGGCGTCATACATTAAAATACGAATGGAGTATCAACTAGCAGGAAAAGAAACCCATGTATTACCATGCAAGGACATAATGGAAAGCAACGGATGAACCAAAGCTAAAGAATTCTTGAATGGCTGCTAGCTTCTCCATCAAAAGAGGCCAACAGATGAAAGCCTAGTACACGACTCAAGCGAAAATGTTCAGTTAAATTATTGTCCTCTTAATTTCTGTCACGGTGTCACTTCACATCAAATCATAAAACGCATACTCTTCAACGGGTAATGCTTTTATATTTCCATATGGATCGAGATCGATCGGCAGTACAGGTTCATTCATTCTCCAAAGTCCAGCGTTCATCAATGGCCATCTTCATCGGATGCATCTGTTCACTTGCACTCTTGCTGCTCTGCTCCCATGTCTTCCAGCTTCTCTCAGACGCTCGCCGCCGTCTTCCACCGGGCCCGAGGCCGCTTCCGGTCATCGGCAACCTCCTCGACGTCGCCGGTGAGCTCCCGCACCGCTCGTTGGCGTGCGTCGCCGAGCGGTACGGCCCGCTGGTGACGCTCCGCCTGGGCACGATGCTCGCCGTCGTGGCCTCCTCGCCGGCCACGGCGCGCGACGTCCTGCACAGGCACGGCGCCAGCATCACCGACCGGGGCACGCCGGACGCGTGGAGCACCGACGGGCACGACGGCAACTCCATCTTCGCGTTCCCGACGCGCCACCACCGGTGGCGCGCGCTGCGCCGGCTCGGCGCCGAGCAGCTGTTCTCGCCACGGCGGGTCGAGGAGCAGCGCCCGCTGCGCCGAGACGCCGTGCGCGGCCTCCTCCGCCACGTGGCGGAGCTGGCTGCGGCGTCCGGCGGAGGCGGCGCGGCGGTGGTCGACGTCGGGAGGGCGGCGTTCGCGGCCATGGCGAGCCTACTGTTCGGGGCGCTGTTCTCGGCGGGCATCGACGCCGCGACGTCGTGCCGGTTCCGCGACGCGGCGCGGGAGTTCGCGCTGCTGACGATGACGCCCAACGTGTCGGAGTTCTTCCCGGTGGTGGCCATGGCCGATCTGCAGGGCCTGCGGCGAAGGACGGCGAGGCACATCACGTGGATGTACCAACTGATCGACGGCCATGTCGAACGGCGGATGCGTGGCCGGGAAACGGCCGGTGGCTGCGGCGCCGCGCACGGGGAGAAGGAGAAGGACCTGCTTGATGTGATGCTGGACATGTCGGAGAAAGAGGAGCAGAATGACGACAGCAGCCTCACCATGAACCGGGGTGTGATAAGAGCATTTATGGCCGTAAGTATATGTATCCTATATATCTCAGTTTTTTACCAGATTATACAGTTTACTTTTAATTATATTTTGACTGTATGCCATATTTTGAAATTTTAGTATAAATATTCTAAAATATAAATCATATCTAAAATTTCTTTAATACATAATTAACATGTCATAATAAAATAATATTTATTTATTTTTAATAAAACGAATGGTTAAATATCATATAAAAAGGTAGCCACATCATCTATTTTAAAAAAGGAGTATAGGTTTGTTAAGGATGTTTTTCCAATTACTTTACAACTTTATAATAGTTAATCTGTTCGATTATTGTATCTTAACATATTATAAAAAGTTGGATAATTCATCACCCTTTCAGAACAGAAAAACCACGCCCAAAAGTAACTTTTCTCACCGCATGCACATATGTTTTACAAAGAGGCAAAAAAATGCTACTGAGCAATAAACAACGTGATTGTTATAGAAGATAGTAATAATCATGGCATGACAGTTTGTGGCTACTTTTCATTAATTAGACTTCGTAGTCACTAAAACATAATGGGTGGACGGAAGCCCAGTGACCACGGCTAGAGTTATCTCTAACAAAGTTATTTTCCAAAATTTTTTACAACTATTTAGGTACATGAAAAATAAAGATTGAAGGAGCGAAAACACTTTAGAACAAACTATATTTTATGCATAAGGTGATTTCTATAATCATCTGCCTAGGTTTTTGTTAGGCTTTAAATATTTTCTCTGGGTTGGTCTGTTTGCACGTGGGTGTGTTTTCAATATAAGTTTGGTGGTATTTACACATTTATTTAAAGGCAAATTTTACGGGAGGACATCACGTACGGCTCCTAAGTGGTTTTAGCTTTTGGACACTAAAAGTTGATCTTTGGGAAAGATACTTTCAAAGTATGGTTATTTACTACTAGGGACATCATGTTGGTTAAAATATTCATTTTTATTAAATAAAAGAGAGATAAATAGTATGAAAGGACAAATGTACTAGCTAGCGAAATGACCAAGGCCGGTGGCATATTTGTCCTTTCGCACTATTTTTGCTCTCCTATTCAATCGAAAATGAATATTTTGATTAATGTACGTGGTGTTCAGTAGCAAATAACCATATATTTTAAGATTGAATTCTGTAAAGATTGACTTTTTGGTTAAGATATTCGATTTATCTAAATTACTTACATTGCTTAACCAATTTCAGGATTTACTAATGGCGGGCAGTGAAACAAGCTCAGCTGTAATAGAGTGGGCAATGGCCGAGCTACTGCAGAATCCTCAAACTATGACAAAATTACAAGAAGAGCTCAAAAAGGTCATTGGCTCAAAAACTTGCATAGATGAAGAAGACATCGACCAACTTCCCTATCTTCAAGCAGTCATCAAGGAAACACACAGGCTACATCCAGCCATACCACTGCTAATGTACAAAGCAGCCGTCCCAGTTGAAATACAAGGGTATAAAATCCCCAAAGAAACCACTGTGATAGTAAATACATGGGCAATTCATCAGAATTCAGAGGTTTGGATTGAACCAGACAAGTTTATACCAGAGAGATTCCTACAAAAGGAGATCAGTTTGTCATCAGGTAGTACCAACATGGAACTTATTCCATTCAGTGCCGGACGACGTTTCTGCCTCGGATATCCGGTAGCAAATAGAATGCTGCATGTTATGCTTGCCTCGCTAGTTCATCAGTTTCAGTGGACACTGCCTGAAGTAGTGAAGAAGAACGGTGGCGTAGACATGGCAGAAAAGTTTGGAATAACACTGTCTATGGCGACCCCCCTACATGCTATAGCAAAGAATATTGTGTAATGTGTAATTTGTGTAATGTATTCCCGAATAAAATGTGTCATTTATCCTAAAATATAAGACGGATTTATAAAAAGTATCTGAAATTAAATAGGGAATGATTGTGATTGGTTTAAGACACTACTACAGGATTGATTTTCCTGGACGCCCCCCCTTTTGTTTACATGCGGTCCGTAAGTGGAACTACACGAAAAAATAGGGGGACCAGCGCTGGGCTGTCGCCCGCACGGGAAAATCGATTTTCCCGTGTGGACGTCCTAATCCAACCGCACGGGATAATCCTCCGTCCTTTCCCTCTCACCCACTTCAAAATTTTCCCATCTCTCTCTTCCTTTTTCCCTTTTATTCTCCCTCAACCACTCCCCTCTCTCTCTCTCTACCTTATCTCTTCCTTTTACTCCTCTCCCAGCCACACACCCGGCCGGCTTCCCACCTCCTCCCCCACACCTTCCTGGCCGGCTTCCCCTCCTCCTCCCCCTCCCCTCCTCCCATTCCCCTCTGTTGGGCCGGCGATGGCGGCGGCCTGGGCGACGGCGGTGGCCGGGCGCGGCGGCGAGTAGCGAGGCGGCAGTAGCGGCGGCGGCCAGGCTTCCCCTCCTCTTGGTCGTCGTCCTCGTTGTGCGCTCGGCTACGTCAAGGCAAGGCAAGGCAACAGACGTCGTGCGCTCCGGCAAGGCAAGGCAAGGTTCCGTCGTGCGCTCGTCGTCCTCCTCCTAGTCATCACGTGCATCGTCAAGGCAGCGGATCTGGCGGCGGTGGCGGCCGGCACAACTATGGCGGCGGCGGGCGGGCTCAACAGCGACGACGATGGCGGGCTCGGCGGCGGCCGGGTGGGTGCGGTCCGGCGGCCGGCGGCGATTTTCTTGTTTTTTTTTATTTTTGGTTTTTTTTCCGTACGGGTGGTATAACACGACCGCACGGGATAATCGATTATCCTGTGCGGTCGGCCCACCCGCACGTGAAAATAATGATTTTCACAGACACCTGGGTGCAAATAGGCCGGACCACCGCACGAAAAAATCTTGTCTGTAGTAGTGAGATGAAAAAAAGTAAGTTGAGAAATTAAATAGTATATAATTGGGATTAGTTAAGATGAGAAAATAGGTGGAGAAGTAATTATATTTTTAAACTAATAGATAATATTATTACTTTTATGGCTACCGCTACTGCTATACTACTATGACGACAAACGAATACTACCAATGCCGCCATTGCTGCAATAACCTACCATTACCTACCACCACCACCATCACACCACTACTAGGACCCATGATCAACCTAGTACAACAACAACAATTTCCACTATTATTTGTGTAGATATTATAGTAACACACTGATAACCTTGAACTTAAAGTCCATCCAAATAATGCAAGTTTAATTTGCAATCTCATTCCATTAGGCAACAAGACAATATTAGTGTAGTTCTTTCGAAGCTAGCATACGGACAGAAGAGAGAGCACCAGCCACAGATGGATTGATTGGGCTTTAGATGGGCTAATGACAGTGAACTACTGTAGACGAGGCCAATAGCATGGAGTGAGAACTATAGTACTACATATAGTTAAGGAACAAACAGATAACATCAGGAGCTTTTGTAAGGTTCATGTGTATCCTAGGTATATATATGTTTGATTTCAACATAAAGTGGGAAATGATGAGATGTTATTGTCTTGTATTTGGTTGGAAGGTCGTTGGGATAGGCCTTATTTGATTGGAGAGAAAAGGATGGATGGGATGATTGAAGGGATTTTTCTTTGATGAGCCTTGGGTGGACGCGCGGATGGGATGAGTCATACTCATATGTCCTGCATTTCATCATCACATGACAAACACCCATCCATCACCAATGGGCTCAGGAGCTTACCCCAATTTTTTTTCAAACAAATGTGATTTAATATGTTTGGTATATGTGTACCCAGCCGGTTAGTTATCAAAACAATCATTTGTAAGTACAAAATTATCTTTTTCAAGATTATTATCATTCTTTTTCCCTTAGATGTTTTATAATTTTTCTATAATAATGATTTTTGTTTGAGCTAATAACACATACTAGCACTTCAATATTTTTGTCATTGGATAATTCTTGCTTCAGTAACTCTGCATCTCTCGCTGAAATCCTGCGTCCGCTACTGAATCGGAGCCAAGCCTGTGCGGCCCAGCTCGTCACAACGCTTGAAGATGATGAACCTCGTGACGCGAAACTCGTACGTCACGAGGAGAAGGCTGCTGGAGGCGTAGGTTGAGGCGTCAAGGTCGGAGGCAGCAGCGATCGACATGTCATGGTCCAGTAAACATAAATTGATGGATGGATGTGAGGTATCGTACTATCCTACAAAACCAAAATAACAGAAACGATACTGATCTTATCCTACTATAGAAAGGGTTTTTGCGTGTGGACCGAAAAGCATCTTCCTGTGCGGAAGGCCGGCACGCCCGCCCGAGAAGGTCTGCGATAATCAAATTTTCGCATGCGATTGACCCAACCGCACGGGAAGATGTATTATCCCGTGCGGCACTATATACAATAACCTAGGCGTTTGGGAGTATCTCGTCCTATCTCAACCGGTAGCAATACCGGATTATCAAATGGTACGCGTTCTACATATCAGGGTTGTCATTAGTCGCACGAATTAAGAAATCACATTATGATATAAATAAGAAAGTAGAATGCACACATTCACATAAAATATGTAATAGACATATACACATACACACATATATATATAATTATTGTCTTGGAATTTACAATAATTCAAAACCAAATACAATTTATGTCTCTAAATTGTTTTTTCACGTAAATTCTTTCTCCCACTCTCTTAGGCGTTTGAAAGCGTCATTCTTTGCAAGGTCGCTCTCCGGATCGTAGAATTCGCCCAAATGGTTACAAACATCGTGGCGGATGTAACGACAAATATCTGCACACAAGTTGAGAATGGTTTTTTTTGTCGAACAGGTTTGCTACCCATGGAATTGACATGATCTGTTTAAGAAAAATACATATTGAAAGTTAGGGAAATTAAATTATTGAATATGTTAATGTGTACACGATATTTTCTAGACTCATATCTGCAAACTCTATTGTGTACCTCCCATTAATTTGAAGCATCTCGCACATGTAGTATCCACATAAGTTAGTGCCTGGTGGTTGCTTGCAACACTGTGTTGAAAATTCTGTATACGTCAATATTTCAATCTAACAAGTATAAAAAATGTTACTATAGCGGACATACCATTCATTACCGGCCATCGTGTCTTCACGAGAAGCTTACTCTTACTGGCATCCTTTACTCGTCCGCTTTGGTCTTTGTAATACTTGTGTGCTCTATGTAGCCAAAAATTTTGTTTGAGTCAATTGTGAGTACAAGAGCCAATAGTTATTGCGTAGTGTATAACAATACTTACAAGTTCAACAACACAAGGAATTCCGTGAATGTCTTCTCGGCATAATGTGCCGGATCAAGCACGACGACCAAGTGGTCCCACGGATATACTAGAAATAGTATGTAGTGGTCGCTGCAGAGAATTACAGGTGATGTTGTATTATGGAAACAGTAGTATGGAAGTAACACTTACGGCAAAGTGGAAGGGACCATTAGGGCATTTTTGTCTTGGTGCGTGAGCATCGCTTTCCCCAAGTACATTGCTACCTAGACCCTCTTTTTCTTGTGCAATTGATTGATGAACGCTTTTTTCTCCTCCGCTGTTCTCACCTAGTATTCTAATTTTCGTAATATTCGATTAATTATTATACTATTCATTTTTACACAATCCTACGAAATCTTAGATAGTATCCTGATACTACGATCCCACCAAATATTATTTAAAATAAGGTGGATTGAAAATAATGTGAACAAATATGCTTAAGTTTACATAAAGACCAATTATATTTATCAAAATTAATATTATATGCTTTGATTTATACAATATAAATATGTACTTTCGATAATCTGATAGTATCTTGATCGTATGGTACTATTCCGATACTATGATACTACAAATCGGAAAACAATCATACCTAGTATCTCGATACTGATTAGCTTGCTCTGTAGGCATAATAGGGCAGTTTGCAACAAAGCCAACAAGGGATCAATTGTGGCTCGCGCTTGGGCTGGCTGGCCGTATCACGCGTGAGCAAGAGGAAGGTAACAACCTCAAAGTTGTGAATTTAAAGTTGGAAAATTAAAAATTTTAAATATTTTTTTTATCTTTGGATGATTTTTCTTGTTTCTTTAAATATTATAGTTGCCAGTGCCAAACCAAATGAATGCAATTAAGATTTAGAAATTAAAATTTATAAAGTGAAATCCTCTTAAGAAAATCCTTTTACAGTTACCGCTACCACCACTACTACGACAACAAACGAATACTACCAATGCCACCATTACTAACAGAGCCTACCATTACTTTCGACGGGGATACCCATGAACCGTTTTCTGAGAGTATTGGGGTACATTGATACGAGGATCTACATGATACGACATCAAGCACACAAAAAAGCAAGGATTATACCGGTTCAGACATCTCGTAAGGTAATAGCTCTAATCCAGTTTATATGGGATTATAGAGAAAACTACAGAGTATAAAAGAGAACAACTGAATTTCGAGATTACTGACGAGATCCTTGTTAAGAAGTACTCGTGACGAGATCTATCAGCGAGCAGGCTTCAAGTTCTTCAGATTGCTTGTGGTGGCGAGTGTCTTATACTAAGATTAGATGCCCTGTACCTCCCTGGGGGTATTGTCGACGTTTGATGTCGCGATTCCGGTATTTGCATAGTATATGGATCGTTGGTACTAGGGTATATGCGAGACTGAGGTAAAAGAGACGGAGACGAGGATTTTTATATAGGTTCGGGCCCCTGAATTGTCAGTTAATAACCTTACATCCTGTTAGCCAAAGACGGTCGTTGCTCTTATTCATCATAATCACACCAGTACAATATTTGGGGTAGCCTATCTAATTGTTGTCGACATGGTGGTCTGAAGGTCTGACTTGTAGTCGATAACAGGGTAGTCTTCCTTCTCGAGTTCGTGCCCGGCGAGATCAAAGACAGCGCTAGATCCCTATAGCCGGCCTCTGTAGGTACCGGATAGGGTCGATCCAGGCATATCTCTGATGTCGATATCCGGCGGCTTGTCTTGGCGTATGTAAGCTTGTATGTTGATCTTCTGTCTTGATCTATGTTCCGTGTCGTCTATGGTGGGTATGTCCCCTCTCCTCATAGGGGGTCTTGTATTTATACCCATAGGTGTCCCTTTGTTCAAGTAGAACTAGGGAAACCAATATGGATACAATCCGAGTAGTCCTTGTCGTTTCCATGTAGAACTCTGGTTGTCTTTCCTTATCCGGAACTCCTCCTATATCTGCAGGTTGTCTCCGTATAGAACATGGTATGTGGTGGGTCCTGCCGAGATTTAGTCAACTACTATTAGGTATGTGGTATCCATAACCCTGACAGTAGCCCCCGACTTTAATGCAAATGAGCGAGTTCATATTCTCAACTGCAGACCTTGGAGTAACTGTTATCGAGCTCACGTGACCGTTCTCGGTGAGTTCAGAGATAATGTTAGACTTCCTTTATTAGCCTCGTACGGGCACCTAAAGGGTTTGTCTGAGTCAATCTCCGACGTCAACCAAGAAAGTACAGAGCATACAATTAAGTCTCCCGTCTTGCTGTAATCGAGAATTTGGATTGAAGTCAAGAAATTTTATCTCGGCGGGTACACCATCTTTTCATTCCGTATTCCTTGCCGAGATCCACCAACCTTTCTCGAATGATCGAGAAGGCGTAAAATCTGCAACGAAGTCTTGTCAACATTTGTCGTACTCGCCTTAGTCGATTTTGGTGTAGAACAATAGATACATGAAGTCTTCGATAATGTCAAATAGAATTTTCCTGAAATCAATACTCAGATAAGAATATTAGATAGAAATAGCCCCCCGAGCGAACGCTCAAAGGGTGACATGTTATAATATGTATGGAAAACTGAAAATGAATTAAACTTACAGACCAATGTTTTGTATATGAGCGTCTACTCTTTTATCGACTTCGATCAGTCAGTTTGTTGAGTTATACACTCTCCCTAGCCCCCAGCCTTGTCGTCGGAGAATCGTTCTTGGAGGATAAGGCTCTTGGACCTTTGACCTGCCTCGTTTGAACAAGCACTGATCCTAGCCCCCAGCCGTGAAGTTGGAAAACCCAATTTCCGATTACACGGCTTGGTTAATACGCACGACGAGAACTCTTACACGACCAGATCTTACATGGTCTTTCGTCTCTAAAGGATCCGACAAGGCCTTATCCACTCTGGGCGTCCCCAGCCGAAGTTCCCTTAGGTTCCTCAGAGGCCTTGTCAAGACGGCGTAAAGGGACATTAGGATAGGTTTCAATGCTAGGTGTCTTTGTGGTAAGGGATCTCTAGGTAAAACACTTGGCGATATTGTGTACTTGATATCAACTTTGTTGAAGTAGAGGTAATGGGAGAATCGCTACACCTCTGGTCAAGAACCAGGTAGTAGTCGTAACTCAACCACTAGAAGTAAATGTACGAGAGATCGCTACGATTGACTGGTTGAGAACCAGTGAGTAGGTGTCTCTCGATCATTTGAAGTCGTGGTAAGAGGACCGCTGCATTATTGCTGTAGTCGTATCTCGACCATCTGAGGTTGCGGTGTGAGAGATTGCTACGTACTGGTTCGAGGACCAGCGAACGTGTAGAATCATATCTCAAACACCAATGGAGATTGCGGTGCGAGAGATTGCTACGTACTGGTTCGAGGACCAGCGAACGTGTAGAATCATATCTCGAACACCAATGGAGATTGCGGTGCGAGAGATTGCTACGTACTGGTTCGAGGACCAGCGAGCGAGTACAATCATCTCTCGAACACCAATGGAGCTTGCGGTGCGGGAGATTCCTACGTACTGGTTCAAGAACCAGCGAGCGAGTAGAATCATCTCTCGAACACCAATGGAAGTTGCGGTGCGAGAGATTGCCACGTACTGGTTCGAGAACCAGCGAGCGAGTAGAATCATCTCCCGAACACCAATGGAGGTTTGCGGTGCGGGAGATTGCTACGTACTGGTTCGAGGACCAGCGAGCGAGTAGAATCATCTCCCGAACACCATTGGAGGTTTGCGGTGCGGGAGATTGCTACGTACTGGTTCGAGGACCAGCGAACGTGTAGAATCATCTCTCGAACACGAACCAGCGAGCGAGTAGAATCATCTCTCGAACACCAATGGAGGCTGCGGTGCGGGAGATTGCTACGTACTGGTTCCAGAACCAGCGAGCGAGTAGAATCATCTCCTGAACACCAATAGAAGTTTGCGGTGCGAGAGATTGCTACGTACTGGTTCGAGAACCAGCGAGCGAGTAGAATCATCTCCCGAACACCAATGGAAGTTTGTGGTGCAGGAGATTGCTACGTACTGGTTCGAGAACCAGCTAGCGAGTAGAATCATCTCCCGAACACCAATGGAAGTTTGCTACGTACTGGTTCGAGAACCAGCGAGTGAGTAGAATCATCTCTCGAACATCAATGGAAGCGCTATAGTTGGTTTATTACATGTGCATCTCATGTGGCCAACATGACTTACACACCCAACTTGTAGCATATCCGGATGTCCGTTCGCAATCATGTCGGGTGATCAAGCCGACAGCGTTCGCGAGGAATTATCCGTTAACAACCTTTTCTCGAGTAGTCCAGCCATGGCCGGTGCTGTGAGATAGGTTGTCGGTCTTCGTTGGCAGGTTGGGCGCGACGACTCTGCATTCGTCGAGATCGTTCTCGATAATGCGGTGTACTTGACCACAACCTACTCGAGTGCTCAATTGTTCCTGAAAAATATTTTCTAGAAGGCAAGACATATAGCAGATAATATCGAGTATGTATTCGAAAAACTGCATGGATCTTCTAGTATTATCAGGATATAACGAGCAGATGTAAATATCAGGTATTATGTAAACCGTAAACAAACATGATTCATACAGAAGAGAATAGAGCAAGCCCCCAGCGTTAGACCGTAGTCGATTTAACATCGGGGACACTCACGCAATAGATATTATATAAAAACATGCTCTAGGTAAACATAATAAATTATAAATCTGACAATGCTGTATAAGTCTAAAAAAATAGGTACGATAAATTTTATATAAAATATTGCGTACCTGTGTAGATATATGCCGGATATATATATGAAATTAGTAGATTAATTAGATTAATCTAATCTACTAATTACCTTGTTAGTGTCTACTACACACTGCAGAAGACACATGTATGCAGTAAACTTAGACTTGATTGTTTGTTGGTCTTGTGGAGCATGATGACCCGTCATATGCTCGCACGCGTGTGCATATGCACGTGACGTGATTAGGGAAATACCCTCTGTTGATCATCTCCGATTAGAACACAGTAATACAAAGGCATAGGTACTCGAACGAGTCCCCGTGCAGTATGTAGCATTGCACTGTGCTCGGCTCGGACACGGCGTCGTGTTCGGCCTGGGCTGCTGATGCTTTTGCACCAGCCATACCAGCCGATGTCGTGGGCGGAGAACTTGATCAGCAACTCTGCACGAAGGAAGATGGAGCACTGATTGATCCCGATCCAGAACAGGCTCATATCAAATCGATTCCGTATGCAGCGAATATTGTTGATTCTCTGCGGCGACGATTTCCTGAAGCTTGGTCGATCTCGCGAGATCAAATTGTTGATGACGATGGTTCCGATCTCGTTGGGACACGAGTCACACGACACACATAGAGCACTCTGGAACACGCAATTTTTCTCCTGAAAACCAACGCTTGTGCACTGAAGTCTCCAACACATAAATCTTTTTTTCAATATAAATCTGTCGACGTTTGATGTCGCGATTCCGGTATTTGCATAGTATGGGGATCGTTGGTACTAGGGTATACGCGAGACTGAGGTAAAAGAGACATAGACGAGGATTTTTATACAGGTTCGGGCCCTGAATTGTCAGGTAATAACTCTATATCCTGTTAAGCAAAGCCGGTATTGATCTTATTCACCATAATCACACCAGTACAATATTTGGGATAGCCTATCTAACTGTTGTCACATGGCGGTCTGTAGGTCTGACTCATAGTCGACAACAGGGTAGCCTTCCTCCTCGAATCGGCATCCGGCGAGATCAGAGATAACGCTTTCGTCTCTCCTGACAGTATCCGGAGACACCGTAGGGGACTAGCCGTGCTTATCCCTGAAGTCGATATCCGGCGTCTTGTCTTGGCGTATGCTGGCTTGTACATTGTGGCTTTTGTTGTTCCGTAGATTGTTGATTGTGGTGGCTCCCCCCTCTCCTCTTAGGGGGTATTATATTTATACCCATAGGTGTCCCTTTGTCTAAGTAGAACTAGGGAAACCTAATATGGATACAATCCGAGTAGTCCTTGTCGTTTCCATGTAGAACTCTACTTGTCTTTTCTTATCCGTAACTTCTCCTATATCCGCAGGTTGTTTCCGTATAGGACATGGTATGTGGTGGGTCCATAACCCTGACAGGTATGTGTTTATACCGCAGATCATCTTGCTCTCCAGAACACAGAGACAACGGACCCCTTACGATATGATACATTCCTTATCCCCTCCGAATAGTACTCTGATATTTCCCATCCTTAAAGAATATCTCCATAAGAACTCACTGATTTCCTTAACTCAAATGGATACTTTCTTATACTTGAGGATACAACGTATCCGTATATCTGATGATTCCTAAGATAGAGAGTATATTTTATCCGTAACCTTGACTACCTACCACAACCACCACCACACCACTATTACCACCCATCACCAACCTGGTACAACGACAACGATTGCCACTATTATTTGTGTAGATATTATGGTAATACACTGATAATAAATTTACTATCACAAGAGGAATTAGATTTAAAGCAGTTTTTGAATAGATTAGCTATGCTTCTAAAAGATGAGGAGATTAAGTGGTACCAACGTGATAAAGTAAAGGACTTGTTGGAAGATGATTCCAATACCAAATACTTTCAGTTTGTGGCTAATGGTAAGCACAGAAAAATAAGAATATACCAATTGCTAGATAGTGGTCATATAATAATAAGTGGTGATACTGATTTAGAAAAGCATATTACAATTTATTATACAGGTTTTTCCAGGCCATCAAAAAAACACAATTCTCTGTTGATGAGAACAGGAGGGAGGATATTCCGCACGTGTCGCAAAGAGAATGAGGCTTTAACTATAAACTTGTATTTGATTGGAAGGTTGGGATAGAGAAAAGGATGGATGGGATGGGATGATTGAAGGGATTCTGGATGAGCCTTGTTTTTCTTTGGAGAGACATGGGCGGATGCGTATGGGATGAGTCTTACTCATGTTATACATTTCACCCGCACATGACGAGCACCCATCCATCATCACCAATGGGCTCAGGGCCGTACCTACACTAGGAGATGGGTGTACAGTTGTACCCCAATTTTTTTTTCAAACAAATGTGATTTAATATGTTTGGTATACATGTACCTAACCGGTAAGTCATCAAAACAATCATTTGTAAGTAATTATCCTTTCCAAGATTATTATCATTTTCCCTTAACTATTTTATAATTTTTCTATATATAATAATGATTTCTATTTGCGCTAATAATACATATTAGCACTTTGATATTTTTCTCATTGGATAATGCTTTTGCTTGAGTAACTCTGTACCTCTCGCTGAAATTCTGCGTCCGCTACTGAATCCGAGCCAAGCCTGTGCGGCCAAGCTCGTCGCCACGCTAGCTTGAAGACGATGAACCTCATACGTGACGAGGAGAAGGACGCTGGAGGCGTATGTTGAGGCGTCAAGGTCGGAGGCAGCAGCGATCGACATGTCAAGGTCCAGGAAACATAAATTGATGGATGGATGGGAAGTATGGGGTGTACGGGCTTAATAACGAACCTAGCTTGGCGTGGAGTAATTGGACGAGGTGAAGGAGATGACTAGTTAGATCCTGACTCGGGTTGATTTGAGTCTCGGAATTGTCAGAAACGCAATCAATTTGAGCATATCTGTATCTCTGGAGCAAAATTGTTAGTATCTCTATCCGTATTCTTCTATCCGTATTCTAGTATCTTATGATACTACAATCCTATAAAACCAAAATGATGATCCCATCTGATATCCTAATTTTTTAGTATCTTGATCTTAATCTTCATTTTTACAAATTTTAAGAAATCTTAGATAGTATCCGATACTACGATCCCTATGATCCCATCAAATATTATTTAAAATATGGTGAATTAAAAATACTGTGAACAAATGTGCTTAAGTTTACATAAAAACCAATTAAATTTATCAAAATCAATATTATATATGCTTTAATTTATACCACATATTATATATTTTATATAAAAATATGTACTTTGTAAAATCTAATATTATCCCGATCCTATGGTGTACCCCGATATTATGATACTACAAATCAGAAAATGATGCTACATATTATCTCTATACTAATTACCTTGCTCTGGAGGTGTAGTAGGACAGTTTGCAACAAAGCCAACAAGGGATCAGTTGTTGCTCGCGCTTGGGCTGGCTGTCCGTATCGCGTGCGAGCTGTGGCTGTTCGGCGTCTGCGTTGCCCCGCGACGGAAGCAGATCTAGAAGAGGAAGGTAACAACCTCAAAGTTGTGAATTTAAAGTTGGAGAACTTAAAGTTTTAAATCTTTTTTTAATCTGCGGATGATTTTTGTTGTTTCTTTAATTTATTGCCAGTACCAAAGCAAATAAATGCAATTAATATTTAGAAATTAAAATTTATAAAGTCAAATCCTCTAATAAAATTTGGCAAATCATACAAGTGCAATTATTATCCCTATCAAGATGTGGACAGTCTATGTTTGTTTCCTGGCAGCTCTTATAAGGCTCTTCCTCGTAATAGTAGGATTTCAATATTCTCATTTAGTTAACTAGGAAGGTGGCCCGCGCGCATGCTTGGGCACTTATATTATTGTTAATTATTGAAAGGTAAGATTATTGTTTGTTAAAAAACTTTGTCAAATAGATTAAAGGCAAACTAAATTGCTAGTTAATTATATATCATACAATCCATCCATATACATATCGCGTAGTATGTCCAAAAATGAAAAATGCGAGAGCAATATATTCAAAATTCTTATAATTAAATCGTCTCATAAAGGCGCATGATATAGTAAAAAAGGAAAGGAAGTGTATGAATGAAAAAAGAAAAAGAAAGAACAAATGGGAAAATGAAAAAAGGGAGGGGAAGTGTATGTACCCACGTATGTAGGTGCGCACCTATGCCGTGAGAGGAGAGGTGTGACCTCGTAGTATTTAGTTTTTTCTAAGATCAATTTAATCTAACGGTTTATAATATTAGGCGTACCGATTTAAGTAATATATACTTTGCTTTTTTCAATAGAATTTTTAATATTTGCTCTAATTTATTAGAGCACCACGGAGAGTATTTTAAGAAATTTTAAAGGACTTAACACATGTAATTAGAATATTAAATGCGTAATATATATATGTGGGGCATATGGTAATATTTATTCTAGCTTCGTCAATGTTTATATACATGAATGTAGAGAGAAATTAATTACTACCTCCGTCCCAAAATAAGTGCAGCCATGGTTTTCAGCGCCCAACTTTGACCATTCGTCTTATTTAAAATTTTTTTGAAAAAAATTAAAGACATAAGTTACGAGTAAAGTACTATCCATGTTTTATCATCTTATAACAACAAAAGTGCTAATTATAAAAAAAATTCAAATAAAACGGACGGTCAAAGTTGGGCGCGGAAACTTATGGCTGCACTTATTTTGGGACGGAGGTAGTATATGGCTAGCAAGCCATTAGATATCTAATTAATCGCAATTAATTTTGGCACCTATTTACAGTTGTTCATAGTAGCTCTTACATACTCATCTTATGATTTTGGGTATCCGTTGATCCCCAATTTACTGTTCACCATGACTCGCATGAAAAAAATATGTACTACTTAGGGTCTAGGACAATTGAAATTGATGAATTATCTGATTTACATGATAGCTATTTGAGGGTATAAACGAATGAATTGACTTCTAAAAGTTAAAATGTTGTTTAAAAAAGACACCATTTAGAAACTTGGAAAGCGTGCAAATGAAAATCCAAACTATGGAGTCGAAAAAAAGAGGGTCTTAAACTCCCTTGTCTTATAAGAGTTCTAGTGATATTCGTTAATATTGTGCTCACATTTATAATATAATAATTTCTTTCACTTGTACGAACAAATAGTACAAAATTCAATACGACATAACGCAATACTACAATACATTATAATTATTCTGTAATCAACTATCGGTTCGGCTTAAATGGAGCTAAGTTTTTTAATAACACAACCCACGGTGCTTAATTCTTCTCTCGCTACATCACACCTTTAATTTTCTTTTCATGTTATTAACAAAATTTATCATCTCCATATATGATTTGACATGTAGCAAAGCGGTAGTGCTACGGCGGTCGTGATCACCTTATGCCTCAGATACGATGCTTTGTCACGTGTGCAAAAGGGAAATGAGCAGACGTGTATTGTGCAGCGGGCCAAAAAGGGAACTTTGGACGCTTTATTTATTAGCAAATAATAGATCTGATGATTTAAATAATGGGTCCACCGGTTATAGTGTAAGTGTAAATTAGTGGGTACACAATATAATGTCGTAGACTTTGTTTTGAAACAGTACATTATTTGAGAATGATAGTCCAATGTAATAAAAATTGATCCGATGATTTAAATAATGGGTTCACCGGTTTAAGTGCACGTATAAATTAGTTAATATATATCTTAAATTTTTTATTTGATAGGTACACAATATAATTGTATAAACTTTATTTTAAAATAGTGTATTATTTGAAAATAATAGTACAAAGTAATGAGTATGACGGTTTAAGTGGAAATTATCTTACTCCCTCCGGTTTCATTCTAATTGAAGTTTTGGACAATAACACGGTCTACAAAATATATCTTTGACCTTATTTTTCTATTATAATATATATATATAATAAATATAGAATATTCTAAGCGCCAAACATGCATCAGCCCAGGCCCACCCCACCCCACGTCCCGTCATCCCACTCCTACCATTGTCAGAGTAAACAATTTACTTCGATAATAAAAACAACTCCCCTGCTTCTGATCCCACCCCACGTCCCGCATCGTGCTTCCACCATTATCGGAGTAAATGATTTACTTCAATAAAAAACAACTTCTCTACTTCTGGTATATATTTTATTTTCCCGTACCCAACCAACCACTCTCGCCCCCACTTCATTTTTTCCTTTTTTTCGGATCTGAATCGATCCACCATCCTAGCACACCATCCTAGCACACAGATCGGCGACACACCATAGAGGAGGATGACGACACCGTGGCGGTTGATGGCGATGGCCGGCGGCGGTTGAGGCGAGGAATGTAAGTACATACGTATACCTACACATGCGCGGGAGAAGAGGAGATGTGGGACCCCATAGTATTTTGTTTGTTTATTCTTAGAATTTCTATGATTTTCTCTAATTTATTAGAGCGTCACGTGGCGGCTTGAGAGCGTTTGTAGGAAGTTTAATGTACTTTTAGTATACCTACACATGCCCGAGAGAAGAGGAGAGGTGGAACCCCATAGTATTTGGTTTGTTTATTCTTAGAATTTCTAGGAATTTCTCTAATTTATTAGTGCATCACGTGACGGTTCGAGAGCGTTTGTAGAAAGTTTAATGGACTTTTAGTATATAATAGATAGATAGATAGATAGATATATTTTATTTTTAAAAAAATTGTAGGAAATCCCGTCGATTTTCTTTCCAACGATAGTACACGTACATATGTTTCTTTGGCTTTATTTTCTTCTATATATCGTATATATAAGTACATGTATATGGTTTTTGTTTTTTCTTGCGGCACAGTAGGTAAGCTTTATTTTTTTTCCTTTGAATCGTACGTAGTACAAACAGTTATATATTTCTTGTGTGGGAGGAATGTATTATTTTTTTAATAACAGATCTAATCTAATGGTAAAAAAATATAGGGGCCACCAATTTAAATGAAAATCGACGGTAAGATTAGATAATGCTATGTGGCGATTGTCATGCCCATAAATTTAACCCAAATTTCCAGACTACTTTTGTGTATTAAATCCCTGTCCAGAACCAGCCAGGGTATACAAAACGACAAGTAATATTCAGTTCCAAACGTAAATAAAGCGTAAAATACTTACAGAAGAGGCACTTAGTCCTTACACCGAAACGAAAGCAGCAGCAGCGGAAAAAGGCGATCTTAGCGGGGCTTCAGCTCCACTCCACAGGCAAAACTCAACTGGGGTCTAAGCCTTGGTCCTCTAACTTCGTCTTCAGCTCAGAAGCACTACACTTCTGAAAAGGGGGAAACAATATCAAGGCTGAGTACAACCACCGTACTCAGCAAGCCACACCAACTATGCATTCGTGCAAGGGGACACAAAGAGGGGTTTGTGGCTATTTGCATAAAGGCGGTTGTAAAACATTTTTATTAAGCAAAACAGTAAAACAGTTGATTAATTAAAGTAAATTAGATCTTCACTTATCAACGCTACACCACGTTGAACAGGCCCAACCAACCCACCTGAACTACAGTGCATTGGGTCGATTTATTAGGGGTGAGACTAATCACAGTAAATCTGGTCGATCGCCCATAACCGCGGGTATGGCTATTCGAATAGTTTTACTCTAGCCAGAGGTGCACAACTGTACCCACAAAACACAATCCACCGGCATGTCACCGTGTCATCATGTGCCCATGATGAACACATCACCACATCGAGTGATTGTGACAAGATCCTTCATATAACTCTCCCCTAACCATCCACACCACGCTAAGGTTTCACCCCCACTCCTCGCAAGGCAACGGGTAGTCCCCTCATGCGCCGCGGTGAATTCGGCAGCTGGACAACCGGACACCCCGGCCGACCCAACTCCATCACGCCCACCCTCGCCACCGGTGCCTAGGAAAGGGTCGAGCTATACTTCAGATCAAGTAGTTACCCACTCCCGCTTGTGGTAAGCACTGTTAGTCTTCCAGGGTTTCCCATGAGCCGGTCCTTAATTGCCATGGGTGCGACTCGCAAAACCATGCACCCACAGCCCACCATTCAATCGCATTTTAGTTGGATAATTACGGCCATGAAACATAGCCGGATGTCTCGAGCACGCAGCTCGTTCTGATACTAAAAAGGTCTAATACTGCAATTATCCCATCTACTGAGCTAGTGGCAATTAAGCATGGCTGAGCATATAGTTCTAGCTGTGTCACATAAGTAACATGAGCTAGTCGATTTATCACCCAAGGTTGACAAGGGACAGATAACAAGTAAACATGGCACAAGCGAGCAGATAGGTAAATTCTGATCCCATGTAATTAGCAAAACATGCATATTTATTTGCAAACGGTAAAACATTTGTAAAGTAGGATCAAAATGCTCAAGGGGAATGTGTGACTTGCCTTGCTTCTTCGAACAATCTTCCGAACTCTTATCCTCACAACCGCGGACTTCTGAAACGACGGAAACTACACGCTGGCATGCAAAACGAGGAAAAACACTAATAAAAACCAAGGAAATAGTATATAAAAGTAAACAAATATGTAGAGCTCAATTTTAGATGAATTTTGCAAGTTGAATGGCTCAATTTGGAGTTCGGATGAATTAGATATAAATTTTAGAAGTTTTGAGCCATTTAATTGAATTTCTATAACTATTATCGGTCTATGACGCATTTATTAATTATTTTCTCAAAGGAAAAGGCATTCGCTGACGTCAGCAAGGTGAACCAGCGCCGACAGGCGGGCCCCACACGTCAGCGGGTCAAAGGGGGAGGGCGCACGGTGGACTCGGTCCACCGCGGCCTAGCGGCACCGTGGACCCGGACCACAGGAGTGGTCCACGAGCGGCCAAAGCACGGGCGCGACGAGGAGCTGAGCCTTGGACCGACGGCACGCGAGGCCACCAGCGACGGCGACCGGCGGGCGGCGCGGGGAGCGGTGAAGGGGAGGGGGCAAGGAGGAGGGAGGAGGGTGCTCACCGAGCTGGCACCGACAAGGAGCGGCCGCCATGGGGCATGGCGACGGCCGACGGCCGGCGGCGGCGGGCTCCCCATGATGGAGGCGAGGCGGCGCTCCGGCGACTCCCGACCACAGCGGAGGCGCGGCCGAGGACCGACGGAACCTGGGGAACAAGGAGGAGGGACTAGGGGAGGAATAGGAGGCGCGGAAAGCCGGCCGAAGATCGGGGAAATTAGTGGAGCTCACCGGCGCGGGAAGGGAACCCGGTTCCGGCGACGATTCGAAGAGGCAGAGGGGTGGCCGAGCTACACATGAGGACTGTGGTGCCGGGGAAGGCGACGACGCAGGTCGACGTTGACCGGGGAGGCGGCTCGACACAGCTGGAGACAGCAAACACGACGGCGATCTCGGGTTGGTGGTGGAAGCGGAGCTCCGGCACTGGAATGGGGAAATAGTGGAGGCCGAGGTGGAGCTTGGCGCAGCGGTGCCGACGGCGGTGGCGGGGCAGCGCGACGGCGACGGGAACGGCGGCGGTGGGCGGCTGAACGACGCCGGCGAGCGGCGGAGGTTGGTGGTGCGGTGGGGCGGCTTTCCGGTGGCTATTGGGGAAAATGGAGCGGCTGCCGGGGTAGACTTCGACAATGGATTGGGAAGGGGAGCGGTGGACGGGGTGCGGCACGACGCAGCGAAGCTATTGGGGCCGGCGGCGCAGTGCGGCAGCGACGGGAGTGGTGGCTAGAGGCGGCCGGAGCTCGTCGGAATGCAGTGGCGCACGGGCTCGGCGCGGAAAGAGCGAGGGAGGATGCGGAGGGCTCGGGAAAAAAGGGGAAAAGAGAGAGGGAGGCATGGGGATTGTTTTTATAGGGTGAGGAGGTGGCGAGGAGGCCGGGACGAGGCGGCAACGGCCGGCGACGTGGGTGACGACGACGTGGGCGAAGCGGGGAGTAGAGGGGTTCAATTTGGCGCCAAAAATTGGGGAAAAGTGGGGGAAATGGTGGAGGGAGTGGAGAGGATGCGGTTCCACACGTTTGACCAGAGAAAACGGGAAAGAATGGCATGGATTTGGTGGTGGAGTGGCGTCGGCAACAATGGCAGTTGCTGGCCGGCTGGAGGTGGAAGGAGGAATTGACAGGTGGGGCCTTGGGTCCCACCTGTCAGGTAGAGAGAGAGAGAGAGGAGACTGGTTGGGGGACGCGATGCAGACTTCAAGGGAGAGAGGGCGAACAGGCCGAGCGGCCCAAAGAGGAGGGAGGAGGGGAGGACGGCCTGGCCTGGGAGGTGGGAAGGAGAGAGGGGCGAGCGGGCCAAGGAGGGGGAGAAGATCTTGGGCCGAAAATGGCCCAAGGAGGAAGGGGAGATTTAACTTGGTTTTCTATTTATTTTAATTGATTAAATGAACTTTGTGACTTTTAAATTTCTTGAGCTCCGAAAATTCGTGGAAAAATCCGGAGAGTATTTTAGAGCACAGAGAATATTACAAAATATTCTCGGCCATGATTTTTAAGGGAAAATTTTAAATTCCCTCTATAATTTTACTTGATTAAATTGATTAAATTTTTATTTAATTTCTAGGAAATGTATTATTTAATGATTTTTAATCTCGAACGAAAATCGGGGCATTACAGCGATCTAGGAGCGTTTGTAGAAGTACCACATGGTGACTCAAGAGCGTTTTTAGGAAGTTTAATGGACTTTTAATAGAAGTGCCACATGGCGACTCAAGAGTGTTTTTAGGAAGTTTGATGGACTTTTAGTATATAATAATAATAGATAGAAATAAGGAGTATAAATTGCATTTACACTATATATATTGGTAGGTGGGCCATAATTTAGTGTAAGAGCTCAAGAAGTGAGTGTGCTAGTATAATAGGGTGCAATTTAGTATATGAACTTAATAAGTGAGCTGGGTGTGATTTTGGCACAATTAATTAATAAGTAATCCAACAACTTAAGTATGTTGACCATTTTGTCTATACACATTTAGTTTTAAGTACTTATTTTTTCAAAACTAGTGATTCATTCTAGTTCTACTATAATAAATAAAAGTCAATTAAATTTTACTGTATTTTGACGGTCCTCAAATAATAATATCTGACATTCAATGTCTGCACATAATGAAATAAAATATGGTATTCAACTTAGTGGTAGGGATTATTACTAATCATTTTTAATAGTGTTGGTGAAATATGTGTATGCAGGTATTTTATGGATGAAAATCACCCGTCATGCGATAAAATACACCTCTAGAAAATCAGGACGCGATTACACGAATTGGAGGACCCATATGTCAATCAAAACAACTTATAATTGAGCCAAAACATAGTACATAATGTTGGAGGCGCAATAAGAAGCTTCTCAACCAAAGGATAGCCCGAGAGGTGGGCTTTTGGGTTCGGCCGAACCACTAGTGTGGTTCAGCCGAACCGCCATCGAGTCCAATCGCCATTTGCTTCTACAGTGGAATAAGATTTTAATCCTAGAAATCATCGTATTTTTGGAACAGGGGAGTAGTACATAATTCACATGTTCTTAAAATTATATGGATTTCTAAAATAGTGGCTAAATATAGACATGTCAAATCTTGGACAAATCTACCACAGACAAGTAGTTTAAAACGGAAAGGAGTACTGTGTTCCGAAAAGTGCAAAGTACACCCTCCATCCGCGAGAATTAACATATTATTTTTATCACGAAGGCCAAGGAGAATTAGCCATATTAACTCATATTAGTTGGTGGGCTCCAAACTCTAACTCCTAATTCCCAACTTCAACTCCAGTGAGAGCTGTCTCCTATAGGAGCTGAGTTGCGTATGAAAGTGTTTGGTTACACTGGTCAGCTCCACTCCACCACGTTATTCGTCGCCATTTTATCGAACACCTTGTTGACGTGGTCCTGCCGTTGTCGCTTAGCAAGTGCATCGCCCTGCAGCCGCAACCGCCGGTCAGCCTGCCTGTCGCCGCTGCCGCAGGTCCGCCGCGTGTCACCGGCGCCAGCGCCCGTCAATCCACCCACCACAGCCGCAGGTTAGCCCGCGCGGCGTCGGCGCCCGTCACTCCACCAACCGCCGCCGTAGGTCAGCCTGCGCACCGACGGCGACGGCGCCCGTCGCTCAACCCTCCGCCGCCGCACGTTAGCCTGTGCGCTGTCGCCGCCAGTGCCACCGCCCATCGCTCAACCGGCCACCTCCTCTGAATGCGCGTGCCATCGCCCTGTAGACGTCGTTGCCGCCGCCAACCATGCGCTGCTTGCCACCGCCGCATCCTG